AAAAAAAAAAAAAACGAGTCCGCTACGGACCATAAAATGGCTACACTTCGTTCTTATCGCCTGTGTGTGTATATGTGTTCCGTTTTTCGAGCTTCGTATTGGTTATTATTGTTCCCCTTTGATATTCTCGATCGAAGAAACCAAGGGGCGGCGGTGAAACACTGTGGTTGGCACCGAAGTTGGGGCTATGGATAGACGAAAGTATTAAATAATGATATTCTCGTCCGATTGATACAAGCAAAAACGCTCTACGGCTTGGTAAGGACAGTGACCGTTTATATTATTCTATGGTAATATTTATATATATAATATATATATATATACTTCAACGTACAAACTATATCGTACCTTAATAACTTCTAACGCTGGGTGAGGGGCGGGCGAGGGGGTAGGGGGTACAGGGTAATTATTTACAGTGCCTAGGACCATTTCACACGGCCCACAGGATTACGCGCGCGGATACCGTTCCAAAGAGTCTCTTCGTCCTCCAATAATCTCTTTGTCCTGGCACTAGACGCGATAATACGCGATCGTTAACGGTGACAAGTATCTCCACATTCCTATCAACTAGTTATCAACATTTATACATAATACAACCAAGTTCCTCGTACGCACGTACGCGCGCGCGCGCACTCCGCACCACTCGTAGGATTGCGTAACGTCCTTAGGTCCCCATTTTCTCATCAATCGTTTTTATCCCCCTGGTATTGGTGGTTGTCAAGGATTTTATTGTTTAAAATCCAAAGAAATTTCCGGATATTTTTTTTCGTACAGTTTAATACGCCAAGTCCTGCTAAATAACACGAAATAGATCCTATTTCAATTTTTTTACTCTCACAAAGATCGATGGAACCTGGATTTTATATTTAATTACAGTGAACACAACCGAGAAGAAACTTTACTCTATAATAAATCGGTAAATAATTTTTTTTTTTTTGATACATTAGCCTATATATTTCCATAAAACGCTCGCGGACTACCGATCAATTTGGAGTACGATCGAACAAGAAAACAATCGAATACAGTGACTGATTCGTTCACAAACTTCTGAAATAACAATTCGGTGTCAGAACTTGTACGCAATTTCTATTTATATATTCCCCTTAATATCACTTTTCTCATCATTTTGTAATACATTTTCCTTAACTTTGAAATAAAATTCTTGGTAAACAATCTGGTCAAACAGAAGTGACAGCCCTTCGTGAACAAACTTTTGCGAGTCACTGTAAATTGATCCCGATATACACTTTGTAATCGTATTCATAAATTTTTTACGGCGAATTCATCGGCGAAACGAATTTTTCTGCGACAAATCTAAGGAGGTCAATACGGGGTTTCGACAGAATGATCATCCTAACGTTCCGCATTCCTACCGTGATATCGGGTGCACCGCCGGTGATTCCAGGATCTTTTACGCAGGAAGAAACGGTTTCTGCCCCCGATCTACAAACAGCTTTCGTTTCGCAAAAGGATCACTGCCGTGACAGTAGGCTCGTCACATAATGTACCAGGGAACGGTTTCTTCGTGCATGAAAAGCGCATAAGGACGTAAGGTGGTATGGCACGGTACCTTAATCATTAAACGAAAAAGAGAAGAGGGAACGGATCGATCGAGCCGTGGCTCAAAACCCTGTGCACTCTAGACCAGCTTCACCTTCCAAGCAACGAAATCTGGAATATAAACCATCGATTGATCCATCTCAAATGAAAAGGACACGAGAAATCGGAATGCCCGAGGAAGAAGCAGCAGAGTTTCAAAGCCGTCTTCCTTCGGACGATTCAACCCCTCAACCTTTCATCAGTCGATTGATCAATTTCTAGGGTTCGTAAAAAGACGTTGACTCGCGATATTCCAATTTCCATGTTTGCGAGAGAAAATCACGTTACTGGCATGTATGTATATGTACGAGTGCAAAAGGTTCTTGTGAAATATCGTAAGACGTGTCGACGGAAAAGGGATCCTAGATTCGCCTGGTCTCGATACGGTATATTTACAGAGACGCCTGTAAACGGACACGTCCGGTGACCGTTAATTATTTGTAATTCGTGGTACACCCCTGGCGTTGTCGCGTGAACGGAGGCAGTCGTCGATTATCGGAATATATTGATAATAATAATATTAATATATTATAATCAATATATATATTAATATATATATATTGATCGACGAGGCTCGTATTTAAACATTTGTCGATCTTAAGGAGCGTGTCCAATTATCTTCCTTTTAAACTCAATAAACATAAACATATTATTACCGAATGCGTAAAAGTGATAAACATAAGGAGATGCTTTGCTAACATTCACCATGAAATCCATAACAAAACAGGTTTTCACGAACTCTGTTTCCGTCTGCCACCAACCACTGGACACGAGCATTACGCAATGTATATATGGTTCAGTCAACGTGAGAGAGCTCGGCACGCGTCACCCTACCTCTAATCCTCTTAGCTGTCTGCGAAGGTCTCAGTAACTATTATTTTATCTACCATGGGGGCGGGGGACTTGTTCGAACCCTTCGCCGCCAGTGCTAACAGAGCTAAAGGCGAGTTTACACTTTGGATGTGCATCACGGATATAATTTCTATCCACAAATCCATTCAATTTATCAAAAGCAGAGTGGCTGAATCTTATTCGTGTTGAACATCTAAAGTGTCATATTGTAAATACGCGTTAAGCTGAATCCCACGTGACCGATCTACACAGCTGCCGAACCTACAACCTACTTTCGATATTTAGTGCTAAAATCTTGAGTGCATTTATTGCTAACATAAACTCGTCTTATGAACGAAAATAAATAAAAGCACACACATATATATGTATATAAGAATCGAATCTCTAAGGAACGACATATAACATTATACGATATTTTTGGTTCACTCAAGAACAAGAATAGGCCTCGATTTCTCGTATATTTCTGGGGATTACTAAATTCCCTGTTAGTTTCACGAGCGAATAAAAAATATTTTTGCAACAGAAATCAAATAACATAATACGAGACGTGACGGTTTCATACGAGACTCGATAACGATCCAAGATAAATCGACGAAACTGCTCGTCCGTATCGCAAACGCGTTCGTTACCAACGACAGTCGGCGCGTGTGTGTGTCGTTACATTAAAATAAGCATATAAAATTATAAAACTATCAACAAATGTACACATCAGTAGAAAACGTCTATGAGAATAATAAAAACTTCAAGGAAACGAGAAGGGACGCGATCGACTTTCGGGTTACCGTGATATTTTGTTTTTGTTTCATTCTTTTCGTTCTTGTTGCCGTGGACTTTGTCTCGATAAGTGTTCGGCCAACAATAAACGTACACCGTGCCGTAATGATTCGATTATTGTTCGTTCTTACTTTCGAATCAATCGGCAGAGCGTTCGACATAACACGAATAAAATTCGATTCAATAAGCATAAAAATTTCTCGGATCTCCGAGCCAAGAATTTCGTTAACGAATAAAATAATAAAGACTGTATCAATAACATAAAATGTATAACTATACTATAAAGATACTATTTCCGTTTCGTTAAAAAAAAGTTCCGTCTGAGCGATCCCCTAAGATGGATGCAAGCAATTGGATCGTGGTGACGACATATCACGAATAAAACTGATAATACTTAATAATAACGATTCTAACCCAAAAGTCGACGGTTGCGACGACGTCATCGATAAACGTAGATTGAGCTTTGGTCGACGGGGGGGACCAGTCCTACGACGAGAACGCATTTGTGCATAGAAAAGTAGAAAAGAAACGAAGATAAACGGGAGAAGGAGAGAGAGAGAGAGAGAGAAGAAAATTGTTGGCGTGTAAATTTTTGGCGCATGTCTTCACCGATGTTCACATTTCGAGGGTAACTACTTTTCCTTCCGTGTATCGACTTTCAAGTCCGAAAACCACAGATATACATACATATGAACGCATCGACGCTACATAATACAGCTACTTTGACTGCACTTTCCTCAAATTCTTTGTGCTATTGCTGCTGAAAAAAAAACAGTATTTTCTCGTTACAAGCCACTCTACGCCGAAACATATTTTCTCATTCACTTTTTATTCCCCGGTTAAACAAGTCGACAACGATAGTATCGTTAATAAAGTGACCGGGGCAGTGAGCCTTGTAACGAGAAAACACGGTACTGTAGACTCGCGATAACTGCCTGCTGGATAAATATCGTTAAGAATGCCCCGTGTTCCAGAATTTCCATATACACCAATATGACTTATGCACACCATACGATGGATATTCTGGTAAAAAAACCCCTCTTGTACCAATCTCTACTTACGTCATTGTGTTCCCTACGCGGCTATTTTTTCCTTAACTTCTGATAACGCTGCTCTCTTTCGTCAGTAATTTGGTTGTATGATGTTCGTTAATTGGCTCCCGATAATTACCCGTTTCCTAAAACTGCCCGGTTCTGGAGCCCCAAATGCGGATAATTATCGCGAGTCTACTGTACTTTATTTTTTTTTTGTGTTTACTTTGTTGAAATATCGTCCAAAAGGGGTCGATCTAAATATTCTTCGGCAGTATATCACCATTCGTTACGCACGAGCTAAAACCCTGAGATGCGAATTCGCGTTTAGCGTGAATAATTAAAGACTTCTCCCTGTGGAAAAGACGACCGAGTGATGTCAGAGGTTTTCGCGTGTTTTTCCTTTTTTTTTTTTCTTTAAAAGTGTACCCTTTGAGCACGCAATAAAATCGTTTTCCGTACAGTCGCCAAGATCAACATTCATATCGAGGTTGGCGTCGGTGCAATTCGACGAAGTAAAAAACGCTCGTATAAAAGAAGAAAAATTGACAGAGTTGTCGCGCAAAAGCGAACACGGATGACCCGGGAATTTTCACACGATTTTATCGCGCGCTGCGGAATATAATGTTCAATAAATAGTCTCTACCGTATAAAAAGTGTGAGATATTGTGCGCGACGCAGCTAAATACATCATCGAACGTTTGTACGACCAACTCGGGATTTCACTCGGTTATTCGTTTCGCGAATCGTCGTTTCGGCTCGCCTTTACAATACAGACAAACGTAGAAACTGTCCCGGAACGAAATCCTATTTAAAAAAATTAGATACAGTCAGAGCGATGATAACTAACCGTGTGTATGTATGTATGTATTTATGTAAATGTGTGTCTCTTCGGCGGCGATGCATTAGTAAAAATTGTCGACAGTTAAAACTTTTCACGTTTACGATAGAATATAGATTATGTTGGCTAATTGGTTACCTTTACGTAGTAAAAAATCCGTTAAGCTACACGAGGTCTACGACAAAAGTGTATCAAATTCTTTCCTCTTTCTTTTCTTTCTTTCTATCTATCTTTCTTTTTTTTTTTTTTTACTTTTTCTCGGGAATAGACACCAGACAGAGTTGTGTATACATGTAATATAGTACTCCCAGGATGATCGGTCCGGTTCGTAGCAGAGCATGGCACCTCACCGACGCTGCCGTTCATCCGGTAATTAACATCGTCCGTTCTCCACTGGTAAAAAAGCTCAGGACTACCCCGTTTCCGAAGTCGTTGATAAAAACAACCAATGATACTATTACATCTGTCGTCGTCGCTTCGACGCTCGGCTAATACGACGCACTAAATGCGCGTATATACTTCGTTCTGGCAGTCTGTCGATTTCGATGGTGTCCGGGAGGATCAAGTTCGAGCGTGCGCATTCGGTTAGCTGCGCAGATATGCGTTTCGTTGGTGGTAAGTATAATGTTACGGTTCCGCGAATCAATCTCTCGTTAACCCTCTCTGATCATCGATAATGCTCTGTGCGTATCGTTTCAAACGGTATCTTTATATCATTCTCCCGTAAATCTCGTAGTTACAGAATCGGCTATTTGTGCCGTTCATTCCGTCGACGAGATAGTTTCCCATGTGGAAAAAGAAGAAAACAAAGACGATCGGACTTGCGCGATCGTCCTTTGGACTGTGTGTGTGTGTGAATCCTTATTCAATATTAAATAGGAGCTTGTAGCTTTGACGGCGAGAGCGCTGGTAACCGTGTGACTTGGGGTCTTCGATACGCCTCGAAGTTTCTCTTAACCCTTCGATATACGTAAACGCTACAACGAAGAATTTCAGTACACGCGCTCCTCCTACTCCTGTATCTTCTCTTAGAGGAGAAGCAGAAAACGTTTAGGGACGACGTTCGTTTTAAAAAATACGTAGAGTCCTTGCGATACGTTCCGGATTAAACCTTCCCACGCGGGTGGATGATCGTTGTCTTCCTCGAGGAAGAACGTAAATTCCAGTTGCAGCAGCTTGCGACCCCGGGGGCTCTTCTCGAGGACGATAGAGGGCGTCAGGCGCTGAAACGAGAACGAGAACCAACGCGCGACCGGAGTGTACGATACCAGCCAGGTATACAAACGACACCGTTCACATGTTATACGCGACGTAGATGGGATCCAATTGGTCCGCCAGGAAACCGTCCCGTAGGTGCATACGTTGCTTCTCGCCACGTGAATTTATCGGGACCACACCGGGGTCCACTACGACCACCACGCCCACCACTAGGTGATGCTCCTCGAGAACGGCGCTGGTCACCAGAGCGACGAGATCCAGAGCTTCGCTCTCGCTTCCGTCAAGCTCGACCACCACTACCAGCAGGTTGGTCCATGTGAATACAGCGCTGCGGATAAGTAAGAAAACATCGTTTGATTGGCACTCGAAAGAACGAACAGTGTACAAGAGATGTGTTCAATATAGATGCATTATTTATAGACAGCGGATTTTATGCATTTATGTGCCTATTCTCTTCCCTAGTTATAAACCGATCTCTGGAGCGTCCGTTCACTTACCATTCTGCTATCTTCTTGTGACACCTCATCACGCTATTCTCGATATCGATCGGGTGGTATCTCATTCCCCGTAGCAGTATAGCCTCGTCGAGAGCGCCCACGACGAACACAGCGTCATGTAGCTCAGCGTCACCAGGAACGAGATCTGCTTCCGCCGCGGTCGTGTCCCCGGGAACGTCGCTGATAACCGATTGTTGAACGCTTTCGGTACGCCTCAAGAAACCAAGATAACCGGTCCTCGCGTAGACCTCATTCGTATTTCCGGTCACCAAGCGTGCATTGAAGTGATCCGCGTAATCGCTCTCGTCCCCATAGATCGTGAAGTAACCGCTTGCGTTGTGAGCAGACTGCACCCAAATCTCGCCCAAGTGCGAGTCCCCGCACTGTCCCTTCGTTTCTGGGTTGGCGATTATCACTTTTACACCGGGCAGCAGTTTTCCTGATTCCATCAGGCACAGAGAATGGGGGCTGCCCCTTTCGACCAAGGACACGCGATCGTTGCGCAGGGCTCGAAGATCAACGTACACTGTAGACGGTTCTGGACTCGATGCACCCTATTTCGAAAAGATTCATATGCTTATGACAGGAATCCTTCATACGAAATGTACCAATACGTCTTAACAGGTGAAGAAGTAATTTTTCCTTTACGAACCTGTAGGCAAATGGCCGTGTTCACTCTGCAACCGAAAGAGGTCGACACGGCACGAGGACTGAGACCCAAAGCGGAGAACAATTTACTGAAGCTCGTAGTGAGGGCGATTCGCGGCCTTTCCTCGGCGACGACCACGCACGTCCTGACGCATGCTAAACTAACGCCTCGCGCCTTCAGAGCGTGAACAGAGGATCCGAGACCCTTCGTGCATAATTCCATCACGCCGTACGAGCAGAATGTATCCCTTACTCTAGACTGGCTAACGGCGGACAACCATAATGCTGGATTGGCTTCAACCTGTAAACGCGAGGCATGGAGTGAAAAATATATCCGTGGAATCTTGAACGTTTGAATATTTCTGTGGAAGACGAACCTCCGATGGGGGTATAAGTATGGAATGATGCCCGCTGTATATACTGCTCAAACACCACAGGGCGAATCCTAATCCAGAATACGGGTCCAGGCACAGAGCGATGTGCCTGGACGGATACAGCTCGCAGGCGAGTTTCATGGCACGGCACAGAGACGTGACAGCCGCGTGGGACATTTTTATACCGGCCAGCATACCCGTAGTCGAGACGCTGAAGTCCAAGTAGGCCAGCATCTCGGCCGTCGGGGCTCGATACATAACAGGTAGCTTCTTCTTTGGCATGTCGTCCATATCGAGAATCGTCGGCCAGCTCTTCACGTCGACCACGTTGTTCGCCTCCTGTGAACAGTTATTCGACGCAATCGTTCGATTATATTTAAGTCATTTAATACATTGGCGCCCGATTGTATGGCTGAACCTTAACTGGTTCCAATCGAGTATTTTAAAGCATGTGTATGTATTATTTTTCGTTCCTTTTTTTTTTTTATCACCATTGGTAGTGACGTCACTAATTGGAGGTTAAGTTACCACCCCTGACGCAACAACTGACGCCAACGTGTTAAGGTGGATAATGGAAACTAACGTTATCCTTGGAAACAAGCATAATAATCAACAGTACGACGATATGTACCTTTGTTTTCAGAAGTTTCAAGAGGTTCTGATTGGTGAGGACCAGTACGGATTTACTAACGTCCACGATCATGCGAACGGTCGGCAATGTAGTTTGAAGATTCTGGGGATGGGGCGGCCTGATCGTGACTGGCACCGCTCCAACGTACAGGCAACCGTAAAACGCACATATCAGGTCTGTGCCAGGAGGAAATATTAACGCCACGTGATCCCCAGTATTGATCCGTCCCCGATCCAACAACAGATTCCCGATTCGCTCAGCCTTCTTGTGCAGCTGCGAGCAGGACAGTGATGTCGCCACCGCTCCCTTCGCGTTCAACGATGTAAATATCACATGATCGGAGGTGCTCACTGCCCGCCATCGAAGGATCTCCGAGATGAACTGGTACTGAAATACACCATACGAATGAGAAACCACTAAATAAGTAATGGGACATTTGTAGGAAGGAGAATGACAAGTACCTGTAGATTCTCGAGTGTTTAACCAAGAAACAGGGGAGGAACTGAACAAGGGAACAGAAAGAAGAAAAGCTCCAGTACTGTGAAGCTTGTTGAATAATACTATTTTGTCCTCAATCGTGCCACAGTACTCTATATCTACCAACTTATCGTTCTCCTTTTTTCTTTTACGCAAAACTGCACAGAGACAAACCTTCTTAGCGTTATCACTATCCTCGTCCAAGACACCCATATCCCGTCCTTGGGCGGAGGCCAGTCTATTACCCTGAACAATGTTGCCCACCATGACACTGGCCGGTCCAACGTCTGCAACAGAATCCCCCGCTACACGCCCCCGCACCATTCCGTTAGTAAACCAACACAAACACTCAACCCAATAATGAGTAGCTCACACACTCTCCCCTGACTGAGGCCGGAAAATCAAAGCTATATATATATATATATATATAGAGGCTCGTGAATTGGTTCGTTATTATCGGAAAGGTGATTAAGGCGCGTCCTTGTACATAGACGCGCACGGAGCATTCCATTGGACTGTGCATACACGGTAAAAAAAAAAGAAGAGGAAAAATAATTGGGTGCTTCTCAAGAAAGTACGATGCGTCAGCGATGTGATATTAATTATCGAAGCGTGGAACACTGAAATGGGACATATTCGATTCAGAGTTCTGTAAAGGTTTGTTTACAAATGTATCAATTGTATGTACAAGAGCTGATCGAAAAAATAATCTCACATCGCCTGGCACGATTCGTTTTTATAACGATCTGGATCACTACGGGGTGTGTCGGAGCTCAGCCAAAAGAAAGAAGAGCGTAAAATAATAGAATAATCATGCTTAAGCGTTATAAAGTAATTGTGGTATACAGGGTTGGGTTAACAATACATGATATGCAGCAAGAGACGGTTATATACTTTGTACATCTGTGCTAAGTCGCTAAAAGCCTACTGACTTCGAAAGAGAAGCGCAAAGAAAAATAGTGTTGTTACGTTTCCTCCGGTGTTAATAGGGAGGATTCTCAACGGAATTAAGTCCGTACAACTGCTCATTCATTCTCTCATTAATCATTCTCATAAACATCCGAGCGGACACGCGATCCAAGAGACCGGTGCAAAAGTCTCGTTCTCCCACGAGGGTGTCGCGTGTATACGATTTTTTCCCGAAAAATCTTTTCGCCGCGACTTGAATCGAACATCTTTTGCCGATTTCTTGGATCTCCGCTTTGATTGGAATGCGCAAGAAGTATAACAAAGACAAAAGAAATACAAGAAACTGTAAAAATGTTATAACCAAGAGAAAGAGAGTTGTATATAAATCCTTGTACTTGCTGACATTCATGTAATTTTCATTTTGATTGTCGGTGACTTTTAGATCGGTAATACCTGGTTTCGGGGACATTAGGTACTCGCGGATGAAAGCGCGACCGCTTACCTGAATGGATTTCGCGTGGTTTCGGTAGATTGGTAACGCAAGTGTGCGGACAAAGCAGAACATTAGCCGGGTGTAGGGTACCCTCTAGAAATCGTCGTTTCGTTTCAGACAGGTGTATACCGCCTAGAGGCGTCTTCGGCAGGTAATTCGGCGGGACTAGTGCTAAACAGTAAATACCAACGGCGTGGATCGAGTCAACCGCTTGAAGGACACGTGACATCCATTGGAAACTCTAAATATGTAAAGAGAACACATGTTGGAATTGGTTACATGTAGCGTCGATCACGTGGTTACATGTTAGAGGGTCTTTTAGACGAACCGGTTTGGTAGTTTAAGATGAACTATAAGAATATATAATCATACTTCAGGTCTCGTCTAAAAGCCCGATAATATTTGGTCACGAATACGTACTTCCTCCTCGCTGCAATCGGGTCGTTGTTCCGCAACGACGCATATTCTTTCGTCCCTCAGGACGCGTACGCTGAACACAGCTATTCTTCCGCGGTAAATGAACTTCATCGGCTCCACGGCTAGAACCGTGGCGATGATATCGTCGGCGTTGTGCTTTCTTCCAGTGACTGTCATCAGACCGTCGCGCGAACCGCAGACAAACACAAGACCACCGGGGCCCAGAAAGCCCAACAAACCGGATCGAGTGTACTCAACGTCCCCGAGCGGTGTCCCGTCCGCTTGAAGCGGGGACACTTTGAAGGTGTTGTTCGTTAACCCTTGCAATCCCCAGTACTGGTTCCCGGTCGTTGAACTGTGCACGCAGATCTCGCCGACCTCGTCAGTCTTGCAGATGAACGGTTGACCTTCCATTTTGATCACGACCACGATACCTGAACACGATGAAGAACATTTTCAATACATTCGATTCTGTACAGGATACACTTTGATGCTCGTGTGCCTGTGATTAGCGAAGGTCCTTCCAGGCATTTAGTACCGGGAGAAACAACAACTCACTTGCAGGCATGACCTGACCGCAGTCCTGAAGCGTGAGGGAAGTCAGGGAGTTTTCTTGATCCACTCTGACAACCCCGTAGCTCAGTCCAGACATCGACAGCACCCCTCGACCGGTGGCGTTCACACCGGCTCGACCTGGTCGCCTAACGGATACAGTCAGAGCCTCGCTGGAGGACGCGCAAGGGCACACCGCGTCAGGACGCAATCCTTTCGATTGGAATACGGAGAGAAACTGATCGCACGAGGATAGGGACCAAGGATTCGCCCCGTCCGCGACCAACAGCAGCCTGAGCGACGCCAAAGAGATGTCCTTGTGATCTTTTGTGGCGAGCAGACCCCAGTGTAGATCACGCGACTTCACCACCGCCACGCTCGCCCGGTGCTTCGTGATCATTTGCATCCAACTGGCAGGATTCACTTTCATCAGAGCGTACGGAATGAATATCACGTGCATTCCGTTCAGGACGCAGGTCAGAGTGCTGTGCCATAGGCCGACCTCCCGTTTGAAATCTAACACGCAGACCGCGTTCTCCCCTTCTGTGTAGCCGCAGGCTTGCGTTAGGGCACGACAATGAGTCAGCATCGCGGACCTGGTCACCGTCACCCCCATCACCGAGCCATCTTTATCGGTGGTGTACTCTATGTACGCTGGTGTGTCGTCGGTCAAACGGGGCGGCGGTAGCCAGTCTTTCGGGGTCTTGCCTAGATGCCCGGTGACGAACCAGTGCAGCTTCGGCCATCCTTTGAACGCCACCACTTCGCCGGCCGCGGTCTTCGGCAGCCCTTTCAAACAAGCTTCGCTGGTCAACGCCACCTGGGGATAATTTTAATGTGTCAGACGTAGAGGTTCGGACGACCTAATGCCTGGTTTACACTGGTAGAGTAAGTGGTAGATTCAGTTTCAATAAATAGCTATTTTTAACCATGAACTTGGCGGAATATTTGTAAAGATCTAGGGGTCTTGTCTCGCGTGAACAGACCATCTGCGTCTTGTCATGATTTTTCTGCGCGAGACAAGATCTAGATCTCTACGAAAATTCGCCAAGTTCATAGTTAAAAGTACCTACCCCTGGCAACTCTGGCTAGAGTAGCTAACGGTAGTACCCAAGAGCGAGAAAGATAGTCTTTTAGCTATCCTTTTCGTCCTTGAGTACCAACACTAGCTACACTACCACTTACTCTACCAATGTAAATCTAGCCTAACAGATCCCATTAGCAACCACGTTGCTATCGCCTCTGCAATTTATAACCCACCTGAATCCCGCAGCTGCCCAAGAGAAAGCCGATCTGCTGGGAGCCAGCATCCCGTCGAGTCAAAGGTACCTCGATCGGCACCGGCACGATGCCCGCCTGAAGGCAACCGTAGAAGGCGCACATGAAGCTTATCGGATCGTTGTTCGGGTACACCAAAGCGATTCGGTCGCCGGGCTTCAGACAGCAATCCCCGCTGCGACTCAGAGCCTTGTTCAGCAACGTATAAGCGATTTTGTGCGAACGGCTGAGAAGCTTCCCATAGGTGAGCATCACGCAGAACTTGCCGTTCGGATCGAGGACCGTCGCCACTGGTGCTTTACACGTTGCCGTGCCATACCTAGAAACAAGGAACACGCATTGTTAACTCCTTCGAATATATATCTTATGAAAAGACGGCATGATTTGCAAAAAATGTATTTGCTATTTAAAGTAAAGTTTAGGTAAAACAAGAGACACTCGTAATTTTAACACATTTTAGAATATTTTAGAGCCCAAAGAAAAGACAACAACAATCACTCGAAAAGAACATGAAATATGTGGCAGTGTATGTGCGAGGGTTGCTTGATAAGGCAGTGACTGTTTCTCGACAATAAATGGCGCTCAAGTCGCAAGAACAATTTTGTCATTTTCTAGTGTTAAGTATTTTCAATTTATTAAATGTGGAAACTTGAATTTTTCTAATACAATGATATTTATTCTTGAACGAGCAAATACTTAGAAAACAATGATTTAATTTCATTAACTGTTTAAAGGCCACAACTACTGTTTTTCACTATGTATTCTCAAATAAAACTGTGCCCAACACTGGCGTCCATAAAGGCGTGGCCTACCGCCCGGGTAGGTGTGGCCTACTGCCCGCCGGTCTCAGTTCACCAAGACAGCCTGAAACATTGCCCCAATGGCAATTGTCGAACAGCCACTGCTCGACAGACCATGATACAATTCGACAACAGCGGAGGTCATGGAACCGCCCTCCGGTTTTGGGGCGTTTGGATCCTTCGGATTCGCCGCGATCTCGAGCTCGATGTCATCGTCCTCGTAGAACTCGGGCAACGGTCGACGTTTCGGCCGTTTCAGGGTGTTCAACAGCTGTTGGATCTTCGCGGAGACCTTCCAACGGCCGGTGGTCCCGGTGTTGTTCTGATCCTCGACGACGTGATACCGATTCACACGATCGGCACCCGGCCTGCGCGTCGACTGTTGCGCCGCTGGTGTGTTGCTTGTGTGCGTCACGTCGGGAGGCTGTATGTTGCAGTAGGCATGGGGCGTGTATTCAGCGATGTCCGTGATGTCCGCGCCAGGAGGTCTCCTGGCCGGTGGTCTCGGTGGCGGGGGCGTGTCTCGCGCCGAACCGGTGCTGCTCGTGTCTGACAGTCCTGTGCCTGAAAGCCCGTTGTAAAGTCACCTTCGATCGAGAAGTCTCTGCCTTTAAACGTGATAAGGTAACATACCCGTCGGACCACCAGCGCCTGGACTCTCCTCGGTGACCACGCTGTCCTCGTCGCTGCTCGACTCGCCGCTGTCACGGCGCTCCCGGTCGGGGCTCCTGGCCATTACGGAGGTTCTCTTCGACGGCATCGGCAACGACGGCTTCGGACGTCCCTGCATCGCCGCCAATGCCTGCTGTACCGCCTCCTGCCGCACCTCTGTGCATTCAGACGTCCAACGATCAGTGCCGCGGGAACAACAAAACGTCTAAACCCACCATATTTCTCTCTTCTTTCCTTCATTCGCGACTCGAATAACGAAATACACGCAACGGTAATCGTAGAACCGCCCTCGACTTCTGTGTATCTTTGATCTTAACGGCGTTGGAAAGCTTATTACGAGAGGTACACTTCCGCTAGGGGAAATGGTAGTTTATGGGGAAGGGCCTTCTACCACTTGGTATCGGAAATGGCTGAAATTTGCGTCGAATTAGCATTTTATTTAACTTTTTTTTTTTCAATACTTGAAATAAATTTACCTAATGGTAAGAGACCCTTCAAATTTGCTCGTGAGGGTACATGTTGCTATTCACCTTCTGGTTTCACTCTTTAACGCCCAACCCTTCTTTCGAGGAAAAAAATTATTATCACGATTGGTTCACTCAAAAATCGTCCCAATATCACATCTGTATTTTCATAATAAAACCCCTGGAAATATGATTTTCTATATGTGACGTCAAACTGGACGTTAAAAGGATTAAATGTACGATGAAATTTAACATGAATCCCGTTCGGTTGATAGACGACCAACGTCCCTTCAGGAAGCCAAGATCTCGTCAGGCCATAAGGCGACTGACGCAGCAACGGTCAACGCGTTCGCGGATTTAACGGTCCCGTAAATCGAGGGGCTCGCCGCGGGTGCATCCAAGGAACAATTTATTCCAGAATTTTTTTCCAGAAAGCACACCGTATCGAATAATCTTATTCCCGTTGCTGCACGCGGGTGCCTCGTAATAATAATACCAAATTTCGATGAAAAGTTCGGAAAAGAAGCATTCGCCAATCGAATCCGAAAATTTATATTTCTTGATCGACATTAACACGTCCATGGAAATATTTTCTCGCGTCATATAAGATAGAAAGTTACGCCGTTCGTTGTATTTGTTGTTCTGATTTAACCCGATAACTGGTAAGTGGTATCTGGTATAAAAAAAAATATTTTTTTTTAAATTTAACCCGATTTACCCCGATTAATATCGATTTTTTGGTAGCAAAGATCCGTAGTTTTACGGATTTGAAGTAGATCTTCACATTACCAGTTGGGAAATTCCAGTGTTTCTACCAAAAATAATTAATAAACAGAAAAAAAAAGTTTGTTTAATATTGATATTTTTTACTACAAAATAACGAGATACAACATGTATGTCAGTCTTTTAATTTTTAAATAACGATTTAAAGGGTTGGGGCGTTAAAGGGGTAAAACATTTATTGTTATAAATAAAGTGTTTGTTGAAAATAATACCGTTTTTTTTTTTAAAGAAAAAACATGACGAAATTTAATATACTCGGAGCAGTTAAACGAATATGGAACAAACACTCCTCGTGGACGATGTTGACCGGTAACGGAAGCTTTTTAAATCATCCTCGGACAAATGTAAACCACTGGCCAAGCAGCAGAACGAGGCTGGCTCGCCATGAACACCATCAATCACTTGAACTGACCGCTATTGCCCCATCAACCCTACCTCAACACCTAAAGGTAGGTATATGTATCTCTGACCAGTGTTACTTTCATTTATTTCTTCGAACCAGAGAAACCACCACGGGAATGGTACTTATAATTGTCACGTGAAACGAAACAAGTTGTACGATAACGATTAAAACGGACTTTTTTTTTAAGGATGGAACTAATAATGGTTGCGTCCTTGAACATTTTTTTACCGAAAAATGCCAAAGTTATTGAGTCCACAAAATGATAAAAGAAATTTATGTTTAATAGTGAACATTAAAAACAATATTTTTAAGTTAAATTTCGTTAAATAACCCTTTAACGTCCAGTGTGACGAATATGTCACATCTAGAAAAGCATTGTTCTAGGGGTTCTGTCGTGAAAATACAGATGCAGTGCACGTATTAGGACCATTTTTCGGTTAACTAATCACCACAAATAATTCCGTTCCCCACGAAGAGGTGTTTGGGCGAAAATAAATTTAGAAAATAGGTCGGTTGAATATCGATATTTTCGACTTCAAAGTAACAAGATACAACATATATATCAGTCTCGTCATTTTGAAATAACGATTTAAGAATCTGGACGTTTAGGGGATAAAAAAATTTGTTTTAAATTTTTTCTTAAAAATACTATCAACTTATTAGACGAATCAATCGTGTCCTATGAATTAAATTCAGCTAGATCGCTATTCTGGCCCATTGCGGAAGCGTATTTACGTGTAAAATCGTGCGCGCGCGTGTACGTTTCCTCGAGGATTGGCAGACGCGCTAGTTAGGTATGCTCGTCCTCTTCGACCGGTAACGGTGCGCCGCCAGGTGCGAGAATGCCTTCGCTCTGCCTCTAGATAAATGAAGCTTCTATCGGGGGACTTTTATGCATGGTTAAGAACCGTTCGGTTTTAATTCCGTTCCGACGAAAACCATGCGAAAGAAGAATACAGTAACGCCTCGATGAGTGCGACGTACCCTTCGGTACGAACAAAATGTTCGTAACAAATGTTCTCCGAAGTTAATTCCCCTCTGGAAAATGACAAGTAAGTCTTTCGAACGACGATATCGAATGGTACGTACCCAATAGCGCATATATACTTATTCGAAACCGTTAAAACCCAACAATCTGGAAAATTTTTTTTACTATTTGCGTTCATTACTTCGGGGAAAATGTTCAAAGGGGGTGGAGAATACTGTGATAACATCGATCGAACGATTAAGGGAGGGACAACGAATCGAAATAAATATTTCGTCGCAAATTTTCACGATCGAGGGGGGGGGGGGCAGGCAGAGCGGAGGGGAATCGGCGAGGGTTCGTGCAATTACAGGCAACACATTCCGGATTCACGATCTCATGGTAGATCGTTCGGTGCATTATTCTCGGGGAAAAGCCAGCTTGGTTTCTTTACCCGTCCCGCGGCTATACATATATTTCGCTGCGCGACTTACCGCGGCGACTCCCTCAAGAATTAACTACGTCCGCGCGCGTTACCCGTATACAGAGTGCGGCATTAAGTTGACAAATGAAAATATCAGAAAAAACGAAGCATTTGATAATAAGAAACTACTTCAGACAAAAGTTGTTTGGTTTTGAGGAGGAAAAAGAATGATATTATTTCTTTTTAATCTGGTAAACGTTTTGAAGGTTATTTGAAGGTCAACTCCCTTTTTTTTACACGAATAGTTATACTTTTTGAACAGATTATTAATCCACGCAAAAAGATCAACAATTTTAACAGATAAACAAATATTCCTTTCGTATCGCCTGTTGTTCGTACAACCTTGAATTTAACACGTTCAATGCGGACGAATTATTATAATTCTAACCCTAGTGACGTAAATTTTCTATGCTTTGGTTTACTTTAAAACGGTCGTAAATTCACAGTTCAATGTCAGAATTGTTAATTTATGTAATTTTATTTTTATCCAATATATATGTATCGACTTCGTCACCTGAAAAGCACCATCTTTTTTTGTTTGAACACCCTGTATTTTTCGTATACCCGTACCCGCGCGCGCAGGAAACGCTTTATCAAAGCAGAAAGCACTCGCGCGCGCCGAAAGCACATTCCTCGCACTCGCGGACCATGTTTCCGTGTGCCCCGAGCGCTAATCGAGCTTAATGCTCCCGCAATTACACGGAGTTACGCAAGCTAACGATTTTCGAGTGCCTCCAATTAGAATCTTTGACACTTGAATTGGGCCAAATGATGCGGAAACGTACCAACCCTCAAAATGACAAAAAAAGTAATTAAACACAATATGGACTTCCATAACTGTATAATTTTTATTTTGTAAAAATAGAACCAACCCGTAAAACAATTCTTACATTATACAATTATCAAAACTACCAAGCCATAAGGAATGTAAAGAAGAAATTAAAGTTAATCATAGAAAATTTAACATAATATTAATTATACTACTCACTATTAAATAAAATATTAAAAAAGATTGTAAAACTATTATTATTTAGTGTTTGTTTTTTTTAAATTCAAATGCTCAAACTAAATTTACTTCACTTCAGACCATTGAGGGTTGCTAGCTTTCTACATAACTTGGCCGAATCGACAAAACAGTGGATCGAAAGGTTGTTTAACTACTATTTGTTCGAGTTGATGTATTCTTAATTGAAAAATACGTTCTGTTTTCTTGTGATCGAAGCAAAACACGGACACGTAAAATGAAATCCTGGTGAAACGGCAGCGTCGCGTTTTATTGATCGAGAATCTGTCGCGTCTAGTTTCTACGGTTGCTGGATTTAACCCTTGGACGCCGACGACGATAACGGCTTCGTTATTAATTCGTCCAGACAATATTGGAATACATATCCTGTAGTAATTCGAGCTCGAGAAAGCTCAGGTGTGCGTAATATTTAAGACGAGAACTAAACATCGAGTTTAATCTTTTAGATAAGTAAAATAACAAAACAGAAAATTCCTTCTTTTCCGTTCGAACATTGTCCTATAATTTTTAAAACAGACTAAATAAAATAAAAAGCTTCTTTAAACAGAAAGCAAGGGACAGACAACTAGACTGTAAAAAAAAACAATTAATTACAATAAAACAATTGAAGCAATTTTTTTCTCAGGGAATTCATTGTTTTCATTCTAATCTTGAATCACTTCGGCAAAATTATTACAAGTTACAGACAACCAGTATTTTTATATACAGCGGGGGCCTCTTGCACAGTAATTTACCAACTAATAATATCAGTGAATTTACAATTTATAAAGTTGCAACCTTTACACTTCTGTTAGACGAACAATTTTTCGCTATGCCAATCGGTACAGTAAATCTTCGATTAACGCGCGAAACTCGGGACCGCTTTAGAGCAGTTATCGCATATGTACACGATTTCATGAATTGAATTTCGAGACGAGTCTCCAGTGTGAAACGTTCAAGCAGTGGGGATAAAACAGAAGTAGTTAACATAGAGATTTTTCCGCGCAGTTATCGAGACTTTACGATAATTTCCTTTTGTCGCGGTGCATATAACCTCAAAACTTGAAACAGGACAATCAGCTGACTTGTATTTCGTAAAGAGTACTCGTACTCTACTTGATACCTTAAAGAAACCTGTCACTGTTACTTAACAAAATTTACTAAAATAAATTCTGTAAAAATCTCATCGATAAGATTTAGGTTAAATTGTGTGCAAGAGGGCCCCAGCCGCATGACAGTACGAAGCATAAGCAGGACAAAAGAACGAAACCGCGATAAATATTCCTCGTTAGAATCCGCACAATTAAAGTCGTATTTAAACGTTGTCTCACGACGGGCAGACAATCGAAAACGTAAAAAAACCCGTGAAGCAAGAAGATGAAGCCGGTTTCCAACGAACGACCGCGTCGAGGACACGCAGGGGGATCCTCATGTTCGGTCCGCGAATCGTTTTCTCTCCGGTACTTTGAATAAATGAAACACTGCACACACGGGTGTGTGTTTGTGTGGCTGCGTATGTATGTGTGTGCAGTAGAACCCCGGCGGTCCTCCGAGGGTTAAGGACCCGTTAACGCACCACATCCCCTCCCCCCATTCCCCGTTTTTTCGTCCCACCTGGACCGTTTTTCGATCGTGTGTATTGTGTTCTAGTGATGAGCGATACAGCACCGATATTCGAAATATCGATACTTTCCAATTCAAATATCGATATTTTATTTCGAATATATTTTTCAGTTCAAATGTCGATATTTTCTTTCGAATACCGATATTTTTCAATTCAAATATCGAAAGTTTGTATCGATATTTAATGTGACGATATATTCCCAGTATCGATACTTAACCTTTTGCCGTAACGTAAGAAACATGGGCCAATCGCGAGCTTCCCATAAACCTTGCGATTGGTCGACATCTTTTGCACACTGTTACCTCGCCAATCTGCCTCCGTAAATATCTGCTTGAATGAATGATTTATTTTCATTTTTCGATTTTATTGCTTCCAAATGAATTACAAGTATCGATACCGATACTTTCGATATTTTACTCCCGATATTTTGGCTATGAATACGTATCGATACCGAATATCGATACAATTCAAATATGTATCGCCATCGCTAAGTGTTTACCCCAGAGCTTGCTATAGTGAATGTACTCACCGGAATGATAGCGGCTCTCATTGCGCGTTAGTCTGCGATTGCCGCGTCTCGCAGCCGCCGAGTTCGAGTTCCCGGTGTTTCCGGTCGAGCCGCCAGATCCCGGGGGACTAGCGATCCCGCCAGGTACTAGCCGGCCTCCTGCATGCAACACAACAACAACAACGCCACATAGACAATGAAAGGATGGCTACGAGGATCGGCAGGGTGTGTGTGCCTGTGTTTGTGTGTGTGTGTGTGTGTATGTACTACGCGTTTTACCAGTTCGTCACCGACGACAAAATTCTGTTTTCTCTGGCGCTGGTCGAGCCACGCCCGAAGAAACGATTCCAATAGAGTATACACTAAGGTCCGAATTTGTGGCCAGATCAGTGAAGACTGAAGGATGGTGAACCGAGGACTAGTGCTACGCGACTCCATGTATTATACTTTTATTTCCTTTTTTTTTTTTTTTAAGGGAGAGTGAACAGGGTGCATGTGGTGGTGGATTGGAGAAATGTGACGGGAATGATTCTGCTTTAGTACTAACCGATATTTTCCAGGGTTTAACGCCTGAGCTATGAATTTATACGTTTCGGGGAAAGGGGAGAAGGTAAACTTCGAATGTTTAAACAATTTATTAATTTAATTATAATTATGAAATGTTAAATGAACCTCTGACTGATTTCAAATACTAATTTCACCTCTAATTCCCTTCCTTATTTAATAGGGATCTATGATTAATTTTGTATGATTTGTAGATTGATTCTTTGGTTTCCATTTTTTAAGAGAATTGATCATTATGATTCGATTCGACAATCGATTCTTTGAAGTGAATCGAACATCCATAGGGTAAGTTCCTGCCGTGGACCTATGCATCGATCTGGAGCTCACTGTGTAATATATTCGTCGTAGGTTACTCTTTCGTGAGACTTTTGTCAGATGGTTTATCGTCAGAATAACGGAAGTTGAATAGACATTTAAGTTAAGTTAACAAAAGCATCGAAATATTTTTAGTAGCAATCAAATCACGTAAGAAAAACGTTTCCTGGCTTAACAAAGTCTCGTATAACATTTTTGTTAAGGAAAAAGTTGCTTCAAATCATCCCAGGAACCCCTCATTTCCAGGAGTCGCAGCTGTTTTGGGACACCCTGTATACATACAATTATGCTTGTTTGAATAAGTGGAAATTTCGTCCATTTATCTCGAATTTATTAAAGCCCTTATCGTAATCGAACGTTTACCGGGAACCTTGTTTTACCCACGGAACACGGACACGCAATCGCGACCGGTCAACTGCAATGAATGTTTAAATGGGAATCGTTTTCTTTAGGCGCGGCCCGAACGGCGCCACCGACGACAACGATCGGTCGCGTTCCACCTTCGGAAGCTGCGACGACAACGACGATTTCTCACTTTTATCGATTGTTCGTAACTCCGCTGTGGGCGCGGGGAGGGTCGGCCGAGGAGGTGGGTCTATGACGCGACGACGTGATTCGATTCGATTCCATCGACAACATCCCCTACTTAATTTTAACAGATTTCAAATGAACCTCAAATTGGAATTACGATTCTAAATCGAAGCAATCAATTATATATGTCACAGTAAAAGCTTGAAGTTTAGTAAATATTGTTTATTATTTATTATTTGTGCATTACAGTGTATGCATTTACGTACGATTTTAACAGAAGTATGAACTGAATATAAGAATATATATTATTTCTAGTAAATGTATTCATTTACTAGATATTGCACACATTTCCTACAGCACGCTAGTAAATGTCGAAAGTATAATTTTTTAAAATAAAGGTATATTTAAAGAACAAAAATAAAAACTGTATTTGATAACTTAGGGATCTTTTTTAAGAAAACTGGCCGTTTTTATATAATAAATATAGGCTTCTCGACACTGAACATTAAATATTTCATAAACTAATGGTCATATGCGCTTGAAACAAATATCATTGGCTTCAGAATTTCAAGCTCTATCACTGTGTTAAGCCTCATTAAAAACTCAGCGTTACACCTAACGATCCCTCCGTGTCAATGCAGAATAGCCTTCGAACACTCATCAAGATTTTACTGTACTCAACGAAAACACCGTAACAATCTGATTCTTCGGTACATTTTTCAGACTGGTCGTGAAATCATTGATAAATTATAAAATGGGAGAGACACGAAAAAGAAAGTGAAGAAAAAAAAACAGACAGTGGATAATCTTATCATAAGCCATCTCGAAGAACGTTATCACGAATCCTCGGAGATTATCATCCGTACCGACAATAGAAGGGTAAATTTATCTGGATCCCGATCAACGGCCGAGCCACGGGACGACTAATGGCCGTACGTGAAAAAAAAATCAAGGTGTTCGCTGGGTAGATCCATGACCACATATTCTCGAGTCATGTGCAGAGTCGCAAGAATGCCCGACAAATAGCCGGCTCTGCTTCGCGATATTCTCGACCGCGAGCCGAAGGTGGAGCACAACCGGTCCCGGGGGGCTACAAGTCGAATTACAAAAGGTGTGTATCTAAGGTGTAAAAGCGTCTCTCCGCTCGAGTCGGTACACGCGAGGGACCACAAGCAAGCGAGCAGCTACAGATCAAGAAACACACGTGGTGTCAACCTCTTCGAAATATGTGCTGCGTTTCGACGCGTTTTCTTCGTGGTTGTACGTTCTACCGTTTACTTGTACTACTACTACAACTATACTACTACTAGCACTGCTCTAAATACAGTATTCGTGAAGTTCAATAACTATCGACGTACTCTTATGTATTTCCTGTCGAATTCGTTTCAACACAGGACTGAAAGAAGGGTTAAGGAAAATATTAAAGGGTGGTCCATTAACGATACTCCCAGCAAAGCAGAATCTACGCGGATAAATCGATAATTCGACGTGCCACAAAATCGTTTTGTGTTTTACAAAAACTTTGTGGGGCCCAAAAGTTGAACTATATTTAAGTATACATAAACTTCTGTAAATCAGACAATTATACGGAAAATTTCGTTCCAGTAATTCGACATGAACAAGGATAATGTTTTACTCTACCGTAATCCGCACATAACGCGAAGAGGTTGAATCACACACGTACGGTTCGATCGCTACTGATGAGAATGAAATTACGGTTTCACGATGGATTACTGAGATTAATTACAAGATGAATCGTGAAACGTGAAATGATGATGGCTTAAGGCTACGAGAATCCGTTTCCGTGATCCTCTGCGATTAGTATTACACGCCTTACTTTCGTAGAGGAGATACGGATCGGACAAATGAGAAATTCGGGGTGAAAAGCGAACTGAAACGAAAACCGAAACCAATCGAACGAAATCCGTCGGTCGATCAACGATTAGAATTGCTTACTGTAATATGATATCTACGGTGTGTGGATGAAGATCTAATATCGTGCACACTCCACAACACAAGGCTCGACAATCGTGTTGTTGAACAATTCCGGCACACCTATTTACACCATCGAAAACCAATTGTCCGCTAATTTTGGAACTAAATACTTTGACGTTTTATGTACAATTTTCCATTCGGAAATCTGACTTCCTGTAACACGAATTCTCTCATCGAAGATTTACTGTACTGGTAAGTCATTTTGACTTGCTTGGTACTTCTGGCATTAATCGCGATTATTTCTTCGAGGAAAAGTTTGTTCATGACCGTGACGATGCGGGCGGATCGGATTCTCGATAAAATAGAAAAAGGAAGACAAAGAAAAATTCGCGAGCGAGTGGCGTGAAGTGCGAGTAGAAGCCGCAGCCCGAGGGTTGCCCCGCGCTTAATTAAGACGAGGACCAACGGCATCGCAATTATCCGACGAGTGCACGACAGTCTGACAGCTATTCTCGCGGCCCTCACCCTGTCCAGACGCTCGCTCGCTTGCCTTACTCGTCAAACTTTTCTTTCATTTTTCACCGCCTGCAAAGACAACTATTTTGTCGGAGACGCGCGGTGTCTTCTCTTCGCTAACGAACGCAGACTAGTTTTCCACGACGAATACTCCGACTAGTTTTCCACGATGAATACTTCGACTGGTTTTCCAAAACGAATACCTCTCTCCGCTCATTTTTGCCACGGGACCCCAATAACAAAATAGATTTATTTACAGGAAGTCCCTTTCGTTACATGAAAGTATAAAGATAAATTACAGGATATAAATACAAATTATTGGTCAAGTCCCAATAAGACCGAAATAGTTCGCGGACCCAACACACAGGAAGTCAGATTTCAGCCTGGTTCCATTTTCTAGATCGCATGAAGCTCGCGGTGTTCGACCGATCGAACCGAACAAAAATCGAACGGGTGGGGGATGAACGAAAAAGGTAAATGGAAACAAAGAATCGACAAACGAAGGAGAACATGAATGCTACGGTGGGTAAATCGAGAGTTCACACACAGACAGTCTAAAATGCACACACACCTGGTCGGTGTAAACGTACCCACGACACACCCCACAAACTAATGCTAATGAAACGGCACGTTTTCTAAAGACCACGAAAAATCCGTGTGCACTAAAAAAAGAAAAAGACAACAACAACGCTCTGAACACGGTGTGTCTCGTGGTCTCTAATGGGGATGATGATCGATGATCGGCGATGCGGCTTAGGCAGAGATGATACATGTCCCTTATCAAGGGAAGCACCCCCAATTGTCCGACTTCGATTTTAACGGAGTTTTGGGAGATGATAGTATACAGGTTCCTAATGATGTATGAGAAATATTAGGTGTAAACACCTGATAATTTTAAGAATATTAAGCAATTAAAGTTACGGACCTTCGAGACATATTGTGAATATATAAGTCAAAGTTATTGAAGTTGTGTTGGAAAAAAAAAGTAAAATCGATCCTAGGATTTTCGATATATCAGCCACACAACCTTTTACTTCGATAAGTTTGATATTCATAGTGTAGTTTCAAGGTACCGAAAGTTGAGGTAACTTTGTCCCAAGTCAGAAAATGATAACTTCCGATTTGTCAGTTCTACAAATTGTGAAAATTAAGTGAATACGTGAAAAGGTATTTCACGTAAAAAATACCTTCGGAAGAACTGCAAAACTAAAAACGATCATTTTTTAACTTTCGGACAAAGTTACCCCTGAATGAGTCAAAGTCATCCCAACCTACGGTACGTAACTTTAATTGTTCGTATCTTTAAAATTATCGTCTGTCAAAAATATTTCCCACATATCATTAGCAACCTGCACACAATCATTACACTGCGGATATTTACGCAAATTCAGAGTTCCAGACATTAATGTATAAACAAGAAATTCCCATAGAAATTTAGCTCCAGTACTAGATCCCTTATTATATTGACAGTAATATATAAATCCCATCAAATTTTCTTAAAACCTTCATTTCACTCCATTTTCCATGTTAAAATTTTCTGTAAAAGCATAAACATCCGCAGTATAAATAACTATCATCAAAAATCAAAGTCGGACAATTGGGGTCTCCTTTCCTTGTTCAGCATCAGCGCCCACATAGCTATGTATACAAAATACTCTAAATTCGCTAGGCGTGGTACACGAGGCAACAATAGAAAACAAAACTATATATATACATATAATATATGTATATACGATGATTCGTGCAATGCGTCTCGCGCGCTACCTGAATGATAGCGCTTCTCGTTGTGCGTGACACGACGTTGCGTGCGCCGTGCACGTGGCTGTGGTCGGCCACCGACACCGACTCCGACCCCGCCGACACCAACACCACCACCTCCACCACCACCACCGCTTCCATACCCCGTTCTCTCGACCCTTTCGATACCGAGGACGCCGACACCTCCACCATCGTTTCCAGCCCCTGTGCGCCACACACGACACATGTGTGCATATATATGCAAAAAGCCACCCTTTCCTCCTCCAGACTCTCTCTTTCTCTCTCTAACACATTCTCACCCTCTCTCGGTATTCTCGTTCCGATTCTCGAGAACACGAGGGGGCAAAACCGTCGTCGTTTTCCACTCCGCGTTTACGCCAGCCACCGCGGTTATATTTAATTATTAAAAATCCCGTAGGGGAACGGATCGCGACTCGACTGTCGAGAAATTTGCTTCCTCTTCGCTTTCAATTTTTGTTGAGAAATCTTCAGATAAAGAAAATTCAACCTGGAAAACAAGAAATATTCTTTTAAGTCCTAACTCCGAAACATGGAATGTTTCTTCTTTTTTTTCTTAATGGTTGTATCTCCAAATAGTAAAAATTAAAAGTTTATGTTGATAATTAGATCAAATTTTTGTTAAATATTACAAACAAAATATGTAGTCATTTAAAAAGAGAAACATAGATGATCTTAAAAATTTCGAGAGAAAAACATTTGGAAAAAAAAACGCCTGCAAGATAGTGACTAATTAATACCATTCGAACTACGTGTAAAATATTTTTTGCATTTTCACAATTAAAAAAGATATTCGGGGGGTCACACTTAAATGAAACACCGTGTATAAACCATAAACAATTTACAGAAATAAATATATAAAAATCATTCCCTAATTAGCTACAGATTACCAATAACAGGTCATTCCACGTGTGTTGCGCGATAAAAGGATAAAAAAAAGACACACTGAAGGACGATTCTGAACGCGCAACTCCACTGTTTTCTAACAGTGTTGTTGCTCGATCGCTAGCTCGCTCGCTGCATAGGAATGCTCCCGTAATACGGTTGCGGTCACGGTCCGCTCGAATACGATTCGACGCTATTAGAATAGGCTAATGTTCACGCGTACGTCACGCTCCACGGAATTTAATAACGTTCGAAGCGGACTGCGGTCGAACCGTGACAATATCGTGACCACCAATGTAAATCCCGAAGCTCGGTCCATTCTCAGTGCCGTACACCCGCGTGAATAGGGCCCCTATAAATACAGCTTATGGGGAAATTTCCGTTAATTGCATTGAAACACAATTTGAATGGGACACGAATCTATATTTGTCTCCAATGAACGTTCAAAGCAAGATGGCGTACAGATTTGTTAATAAAAATTTAGGACACTTCAAATTTCGGATTCTTCATGGCAAATTGAATTCTATACGAAAATTCAGAATTACGAAATTACGTTCGAGGTTTCGTCGAATATATGCCTGACGCGACGTGCTATTCTACTTAAGAGGTGCGTTCTTCAACTGTTCCACGAGTTGGTGACGTTCATTCCAATTTCATTCGTTAAATGAACCCGTTTATTTTCAAAGTTAAAATTTAAATTATCCAATTGTTTATAAATAGAAATTCACTCTGAAGTATATGTAAATTTTTCGTTGTCTCAATTTTTTTTTTAAATAATCGACTTATCCACTTTCAAAATAGACGGTCGAAATTTAAGTAGTTATAGCTCAACGATCAAGCCCAGGTATCAGCTGGATATCGACCGTTCAAGTAGTATAACCCATCGTGGTCAGGCGTATTTCTGTTGAATAGAACTCTCAAGTAGTATAATTCATCGTGTCAGACGTACTTCAGTTGAAGAACGCGACTCTCAAGTAGTATAATCCACCGCGTCAGACGTAGTTCGTCTGTATTTTCAACGATCAATAACTCGGAAATGAAGCCTCATACGCAACTTCGTCATTCTTCATTTTCGGCTTAGTTTGGCATGTAGAATTTACCCTGTGCGTGAAAATGTCCCTTATTTGTATTAACACCCTGTATATCGCGTGACAGGAGAGACACGGGAATCCGTGAACTTCCGACCCAGCCCATGTGTCGTCGAGAGTCGTTAGACAACTGTGACCACGCCACTCTGCTGTAACCGATGAAGCAGCGAACAACACAATAAAACCGTGGACAGGGATAATCACCAGTTACACGTAATCGTGTCGTCAGGTGGAAGCTATTGCCATTGTTCGCGGTTACGTGATTCGTCTTGGAACAGTTGTGAATCAATGAAGATGAAGAGGAGGACGAAACACTTGTTTTGCAGGAAACCTGGCGCCACCTTTTCTATGAATATACATTGACGAGAATCGATACTGTTCCATGAAATTTACGAATTCTACGACCTATAGCAAGATGGTATTAAAAAAAATTCGCCTTGCAAATATTCAAGGACACCTCGAATATCTAAAAGAGAAAACTAAGATATAAGAAATCAAACTGTATCCATCCAATGCGTCCCTTAAAATGCTCTGTAATTTATTAAAACATTTTTTGGTACAACTAATAGGTAATAAGTGAATTTAGATAGTAGTTCTTATTGACTCACCCTGTATCTATTACAGGCATTGTACATTATTCCAACGAAAAGTTCGAACCCAGTGGCAGTTCAGATTTTTTTATTAATCTCATTCACGTTCGGGGCCGGTCACTTCTTTTCCTATTTTTAACAGCGCCGCGTGAGAAACACGCGTGACGACCAACAACACGAAGGATATCGCGATGCTTGTTATACAAATCCACGCTTAATGTTTTACACCGTTAGCGAGAGCTATTAAACGCTGGCCTTGTACGCATAAGAAGCATAAAACGAACGAAGAACATTCCGACAAAAAGATCCTATGGGAAGAAACAAAAAAGAAAATCGAATTGATTATTCTATTTGTCCCAACTACTGGAAAGACTAGTGGAAAAAGAAATTTGAATTAGACCAAGCTAGAACATTCTTCATCCTGTTTCAGTCACCGAAAATTGACTTTCTTGCAACACATTTACAGAGCATCTTTTATTCCCTACAGATCTGTATTCCTCTTCGACGATACGTAGAACCTTCTTTAGTGAGGTCCTGACATGTAAATACTACAGAGTTTCATATTCGATGTTCAACCGTATTTAGAGAGCGTTTTATATTCCATAATGGTTACCGATTACCCTATTCGATGGTAATAGACCGCCTAATCATCTTAATTGCCACCGTCTGAATCATGGAACGCGTCGGATCGCTCGCGCGCAGTCTTTGAAAACAACGGGTCGAATTAGTTCCCATCGTTGAGAACAATGCATAATAGGCCGAATAAGACTGGTCAACGAGCTGCAACGCGGAAGAAAGCATTGTGTTGCTGGAATAAAATCGGCACGGTTCGAAGGATTCGCTGGTAAAATGAAAGATCGCGATAACACTCGCGACGAACTAGCGCAATATCGTCAAGTTTTGGTGTCTCGAAGAAAATAAGAATGCTGTAGAAGAGATCCATGAATCGAAAAAATCCGAAAAAGTTTCGGATGTATTATAGCTCCGAGTAGTTAACTACAATTAATTTTTATGTAGCCAATTCCGAAGTGTCCATATTTTAAAAAAATTATCCATAAAAAGAAGAAATTGGATTATATCCTCATTTTTTTTTTTACAATTTTTTTTACTAATTCTTTGTTATTATACCATTGCTTTTTTCTATACAATTGCAAGATAAATGGTTACGAAATATTATTGTTGAGCTGAAATCATTTTTATTAAGCCCTCTTATTTTTCCACTGTAACCATCCAGAAAGCTCATTTCGATCAGTTCATTAGTTCAATAGTTATGATTTATGAAAGAAAGGGTGACACTATACTGCAAACTGCTGTAAACGTAATAATTTTTTAATTTTTGAAAAATTCTTCAAGATAGGTACGTTTATATATCGTTAAAGATTACAATATATCCAAGTTTCAACGAAATCCAAAATGTTACTCGATAAAGTGTCCGACATCGCGTGGAATGACCCGTACGGGACAATACCAGATGCATATTACGTCGCGTATAACGAGCGGATAACGCGGAAGTGGCTGTTCCGCCGCGTCCAGGTACAGTTAAACAGTATGTTGACTAGGGACCGATTGCAACGGTTCGACCGATTCCAGCTGTGGCCGCAGCAACGACCGAGCAGAGCCCGTACACTTACTCGCGACCGTTCCGATTCTGTCGTCGTTCGAACCGTGAAAATTACATTCGAATGAGGAATACATTATAAAACATCCTGCAGATGACACTGTACGTGAAAAAGAAAACGATCACTCTGGCAGAAGGCTGTTATGTCTTTTCTGAAAATAGCGAGAGCACAGCTCCACGTATTAGATGAATGGAAAAGTTTCGATGGATTTCACCACCAGGTCTGAAAGGGTTAATCCAAATGAAAAGAAAGCTAATTCTAATTTTTGCTTCCACAAAATACTAGAAAACACGCGTTAGTGAAAGTGTTAAATGAGTTCAAATTTTTGTTCTTTAATAACAATTCACCGTGTCACATTGTTATCGATGTATAATATATCAACAGAATTGTTTTTTGTTTTCACAAAATCGCGGAATATTATCGAAACTTTCGCAACAGCCGCGATATACAAAGGAGGTTGCCTTTTAAAGAGAAACCAGTCAATGTCATCCATGACTTCCCAGAAAACAACTCACGCGATTACCAATGATAAGATGAAGTAGTAAAAGGTGTCGTGCTGATAGCACGTCGAAGAACCATCGGTGAAATCTCATGGACAGGAAAGTAAAATCAATCGTCGTTACAATGACCAACAAAGAAAAAGATGTGCAACACCTCTACAAGGCTTTCGAATGCACAACGTAGAAATTAAGGTGTTTCCACTTATGTTCTATTCACACCATAATCTGGTCCAGATCTAAGCTCCTTATTACAATAATCAAAAAAAGATCTTCATGAAAGACTCTTAGATTTCTTATCGCCAGATCTTCCTCGAACAATTCTAGACTTTCTTAAGATATGTTTTCACGCGACGAAAAGAATGGATTTTGCCCTTACCCCCAAACAAAAAAATAAAATGAAATTTACCTTAAAACTAATTTTGATAATAATATTATGCAATTTACCTTAAAACTAATTTTGGTAATAATATTATGAAATTTACCTTATGATAAATTTTGATAATATTATGAAAATTAGCTTTAGATAAATTTTGATAATAATATTATGAAATTTACCTTTAGATAAATTTTGACCTCCCCATGATTGATAACCTGACTACGACCATGGTTACGGTCGTTACAAATCGACGCAGAGAAAAAAAATTTCCGAAACGATGGCTGGCGACAACACGAACGTGTCGAATGCGCGCGATAATGACGGTTCTTGGTTGTTTCGTAAGAGAGGAAAACCCGTTGGAAGAGGCGACGTATGGAAAACGTCGGCCGAAGACAACAAGGATTACGCGGCGGCTTGTGTGTCCTCTGTCAGTTCCTCCCTTTATTTCCCATTACGATTGCATCTGCCGGCTACGGCATTGTGCGCACACGGCGGAAAGTAAGCGTTTTCTATGTCTTGAGAATCGGAACGCGATTAATATTATGACCGACGTCGACGAGAGAGACTTGGTTGTTGCGTTTGGATGTGGCGCAATAATGGGCGCGTGCGCGCGCGGACGAATGTTAAAGATGCGTCTACGCTATGTAGCATAACACGTTATCTAGAAACGTTATGAAACTTGTTAGAAAAATACAAACTTGCTAGTTACAGTCAAAAGTATGGGACCAAAGTTCATGACTGATGGAATAGTAACTAATGTATTTAATAAAAATTATGGAATTAATACATATGAAAATTGTTTCCAATCAGTTTTAGCACAATACTTTTATCAAATCTTTTTTTCATTATCAGACCTGGTCTCACACTTACAACCTGTAGTGTATATGTTATCTATCAAGTGTGAAGTCATTATTAATAACGAGATGCGAAATGTTGTACAAACTTATTAGAGACTTGTCGAAAAGATGTAATCTTGCAACAAATTATCAAAATATGTTGTGTATAGCAAGGTCATGTAACAATTTGTTATATAACACATGTTTCGCTGTATAGTGTAGACGCAACTTTAGATTTTATCCCTCTTCAAACACGCTCCGCGAGGACGCGAACCAATTATGGAATGATTACGAATGTATCGCGAAATCGAATAAACAAAATACAGCCATAACGAATTCTACGTGATTCAGTGAATCTTCGAAGAGATCGAAAGCTCTTCTACGGAAAATGGTTGATCAATACCGCGTGTGCGAAATTCAAACAATGGAAATGATAGAATTTAATAATATGACGCGAATGAATCGAAAATTCGATAGCCAAGAACGCGTTGTTCGATAAAGTCGAGCGAAGCCCACGTGATTTCTGCCGCCCACGCGCTCGATCGTCGTTAAGCGAAATCGATAAACGCGGCGGGAAACCCCTGGCCACTTTTCCACGGTAAAAGTAAAACCTTCCGCGGACACGAGCCAGGAAACAGCGTGTAAAAGTGACGTGTACAAGAATCGTGGATTTTACGACCACGTCGTCGCGAGGTTCTCATTCGTTCGCGCGCCCGCGCGCACCATTAGTTTCCTTTAAAATGAGTTGTCGATAAAGCATGATTCGTATATACGCTAGGGTGATTTGCGAGCATACGGAAAATCTCGACTTACCCAGCTGCTTCGAGGCATACTGCTGAAGTAGACGTGTCCGTTTCTTTTCGTACCCTTTTTGCGTTATGTCCCCTGGAACGAGAAAATTAGAGGTATGAGTTCATCACTTCTGTATTTTTGCTGCTTTGTGGGAATAGAGAAAAGAATGGTGGAAAACGGAAAATAATAAAAAATGACACTGGAAGTTTCTTCGTATTTAAAAAAATTCTTTAAAAAAAGAAATCCTGAAACAAGTCTTTTTACTATATGGTGCCAATGGTGTCATTTTCAATGATGTCTCAAAAATATTTTACTTCCAAGTCAATTTCACCCACTGTGACAACTACGTTTGATAAAACTGGTGTGACAACGGAAAATAAATTTGTTTTTCAATTTGATTTCCAATTAAACCGTCCACCATTTACAGTGCACAAAGTATTCTAAAAGCATCTTATGCTCTATCTTTCTGCCCTCCATCGACACCTGTTATTCCCCCCAAACGAAACTGGTAATCACAATTGCCCCCGAAAATGGGAGAATAAAGAGATGGATTCATTTCGAGCTGAATCGATTTTGCCCCCGTCGAGAGGCGAATTTCTCAACAACAACGACACCGAGCTACGATCTCCATCGACAACCGAAAAAGGACGTCGTCACTCGATAGCTGGACACGCGATCTCGTTCGGGATAATTTGTTTCGCGCGCGTTGCACGAGAACCCCGTCGATGGAATTCCGAGGACGATCGGTGAACGGCTGAAATCGTCGTGATTCAATTCGCAGACGACGAAACGAGTCGAAAAAGGAGAGGCTGAACGGGACTCCAACGAAAGCCTAATGAAGGGAATTCTGATGCCGAAAAACGTGAATTTCTCTGGAAATCATTGGCGGAAACGAGCCCACCATATCGGACCGCCTTTCGGCACCGATCAGCGTGAAGACTTTATCTTGTGCATTTAATTGGTCGTCGGCGGAATTGAATATTCTTGCACGGGAAGGACCCCAACTGGTCGACTTCGATTTTAACGGGGTATTGTAAAATGATAAGTACACAAATTCCTAATGACGTAGATGTATGAAATATTTGGTGTAGACACTGGATAATTTTGAAGATATTAAACAATTAATGTTACGATCCTTTGAGATATATTATGAATATACAGGTAATTCTCGATAAGTCTTCGAAGACTTCTCGACACTGAACATTAAATATTTCATAAACTAAGTCCCAAAGCAAGAAAACGATCATTTTCGATGTTTCAGCTCTACAAATTCTTAAATTAAGCTGATTTTTACGTGATAAGATATTTCACGTAAAAGTACCTTCAAAGGAGCAGGTTCAGAAAAAGAGAAAAGATTCTACAGTTTTGGAATTTAAAGTATTTCGCCGCCATAACGGGCATTAATTCATACCGGTGAGATACTCTAAATTGTTCTGCCGATATTTATCTATGGTCTGTCGATATTTATCGAAATTCCTGTATCAGTAATGTAATTTTCTAGAATCCACCGTTAGATCCTTCAACCGCGGAAGGAGATGAGGAATGCGCGCTTTCGTAGGAAGGATCGAACCGAAGCTTTTAACCAAGAATCTATCCGCCTAAGCATCACGACGACGATCTTTGATTATTTATGGAAGATCGTTCGTTGGAAGTATTCTGGGCGAGTCGACAGCAATGATACACGGCGGTGGTATTCGGTTGCATGGCGTTCACGAAACGATTCAGTGATTAATTCCACTGTGGAAAGAAACAAAACGGGTTCTGTTCGTTCGTGAAATTCTCTTCTGAACAGAGGGGGGTATGCGCATTGTACTTATAGGATTTCTGCAGCGCAACAAGCCGCCTTTTGCCCACACGTGTCTTGCACGACGGCGAAACGGGTTGGCATGCTGAACGCGCGCTAGGCGTCACGCCTCGTAACTCGAGAAAATGCCTGGAGAATCGATCGGCTAACGGCCGAGACACGGATTTTTCCAGGTGCCGAGCAACCGACACGGAACGAAACTGGGCCATGCAGCAATATCACTCGGATTCGCTTAACCCTTAAACGGTGAGATGGGGTCTAAGATTGCTCACGAAGATTTGTAATAATTTCACTTGAAAATTTCATGGAACATTCTTAAAAGCTTCAACTTTCGATTCCTACCAAAAAATCGCAAGGTCAACGATGAAATCATTGAAAAAGAAATGTTATAAAAATTTCTTTCTGACACAAGCCTTGTGGAACTGTCAATTACATTTTCATAAAAAATTATATGGTTATAGATTTTTTTACGAAGATTATGATGGCATAGAAAAAAGAAGATATGTTAATGATTAAATAAAACTAAAAATTAAGATCAAAGTATGCAAACTTAGCTTTCTTCGAGATTCATTAATATCTGGTTTCCATTTAAATAATTATTACTTTTTACTCGATGACGTTTTTTCCAAAATATATCTCAAATAACTGTTATTTTTGGTTTCTGGAAGTTAGCCTACAGAAAGCAAAGTGTTTCGTTGGATAAGGTGGACGTGGAGCTCGGAAACGGAGCTCCACGGTTCTTTATCTCCCCGGGCTATCCGACCGCTAGTTAAAAGTTATCGGTACGCGGATCGACTGGTCCTTCGGGGCAAAGTGCATATTGCGAAGCCGGACTCAGCGAGAACGAACGCGAACAACGTCGATGGGAATTATTGCACGGTCGAGTTATGCTCGTGGGGGCACACAGAGAATGAAGAATTTCTCAGCTGGGGGATGCGCGCGTGAAACCTACGCCCATTAACCGCAAACTACCCCCGCTTAACCTCCAACCCCATCCCCAGGGGCTAGGACATTGACATCTCAGCCAGACGATTAACCCTTCAGTCACGATAAAGCCACACACCGCTTCACGATGTTTTATAGATGATTCTTCGACGCTTCTTTTAATCGAAAGATAGCATAGGCCTAGAAATGATTTTTCCAATTCTGTTCCCCTCCCACCTACGGATAGAAAACGCGTTTTACATCGGACTGGATGAGACTTTCCGATATATAGAAAATTGTTCAAATTCAATATTCCATAACTCTGTTAATATTCATCAAAATTTGGTTAAATTCAAATGTAAATTCAAGCTTGAACCTTCTACTTTTTGGGCTTATTGTTCGATTTCATTTAACTCGGTGCTCATGGGGTAAAATCTTCCCTTATAAAGAGGGCCGTCAAATTATGAAAATTTGTCCTTATTTTAGAATGAATTTATCTCATGGGCAGCAGATATATTGTCACCTTGATATCTAAAAAAGACATAATGAAATCAAACTGTGTCCACCCCATGAGATTGCTGAATTGGGACCATCGCCTAAGTTGCACCATTATCCTAACTTGTCATCTGTAAGCAACTTATGCTATACAATAGACAGTATGCATATGATAGTGGTAATTGCATTAACTAACTTAGTCTAAAAACAATATACAGGATGAACCACGCATCGTTATCAGTAGAGATTACTCTGTTATTAGCAATCCGATCGAAACTCTTTTTATCAGGTATAACATTGTTTCAAGAGAGCTTTGACGTGATTATAGCAAATTTTTTGTCAACTCTTTTTTTTTTTCATGATTTTTCAAGGTCACCTTCAATTTTTTGCAAATACACCTATAACTCTTTTTATAATTTATCATATAGCGAAAATTTCTTACATACGACAAGTTAGAGTACTGCTCCAACTTAGGCGATGGCCTAAATTCGACAAGCATCCTTTATATAGTATATCTATTATCAGGAATTGAGTCCCTAACGGTACCCTCGTATATATCTGAAACACGAGTCTTACTAGGTCTCCTCCTCAACGACGAGCACTTTCGCACAAGAAACACCGGTTGCCCAGAAGCCTTTCGTAGCTGTGACTTCCGCCTAAGTGGTCTCCGCCTAAGCCCCGACCTCTGCCTCTTCAGCTGTTGCTGCCTGGTCTGGCTTGCCTGCGAAGTCACGTTCTTCCGTCGTTCGACCACCCCGTGACAATTGGTTTCCTCGTCCTCGGTATCAGTGGACGACAGACATCGGCCATAGTACGTCGACTCGGTGGTCCTGGTCTTCTCCGTCCCCACAGAGCCACTCGAGCCTTTCGACAAGAAGCTGAGAAACTGGTTGCTGGCGAAGTAGTTGGACGTGGCCGATGGCTGCCAGGTGGTCCGACGTGCTAGAAGACCGCTGGTCCGTAGTTCCTCGGAGAACAGCTTGTCCTCGTTGAAGTCGCTGATCTTCGGCGCTGGACAGCCCGAGGACGACGAAGTCGTGGTGGCGGATAAAGAGCCCAAAGGTGACGACACCAACGAGTTCAAGACGACGTCGTCACGTCTGTCGTTGAAGTCGCCCGAGAGCAACAGCTTGAGATCGTCGAACTGATCGTCCGATAGATTCGACGACCAGTCGTCGATCCTCTCGATCACGGGATCCTCCAACTCTGGGAAGTATCTGATCTCCCGCCAGACACGTCTCTGACGTCGCGAACGTCTCCTTTCTGGTGGTACGAACCACACAGGGCTGTTCGATCGTGGTGGTTGCGACGATGGCGTTGTTGTTGCCGTCTTCTTCGTTCTCTGAGAGGTTCGTCTGCCACGACGTCGAGAGCTAGATCGTCTGGAACTGTTTGTCCGCTTGAAGTAACCCTCCGTGCTGACGCTTGGCGATGGTTTCTTTGTTCGACGGTTGAAGAAACCATTCCTTGTGCCCCTGTGTGTAGCCACGTCCCGTACACACACACACAGACAGATCGAATTTAGGACGATTGGAAATCGTGGTCGAACGATGAGATTCGCGGGAATTCCGGGCCGGGTAAGTTTTGAATGATTACTTTGATATTTAAAGAAGCGTGGTTTGTGTAATACAGGGTTGAGTATTTGTGTCCTTCATTCCCGAATTAGTTCTCTTATGTACAAATAAATGACGGATATGTTAGCATAAAGACGTTTTAATTTCTTTACCTTTCTATTCCCAGATATTTAATCGATCAAAAATGGAGTCTCATATTCGGTGCCATTACTCTACAACGATATATCCTTGATAACACATCTGGTTCCTCTTTTCGAAGGAAGGTTAAAGTCCCTTCGAAAGTGACACAAAGATTCAAATCCTTTTTACCCTTTACCACAAGAAAACCAAAGGTCTAAGCAGCTTCGGATCGAATTGGAAATTCAATTTCTTAATTCACATTACACTTCGAAACATGAACATCACCTGACAAGGTCCTCTATCCCCACTCGTTTGAATTTCCCATCCGACCAACGTCACTTTCTCGTTTCCAAAAGTACACGTTTCTCGATTCACTCGTAACCTCCACCGAACACATATTTCTTCCTTACACAAAAAAAAAAAATGTTTCAAACCCCATAAAACTCCGGCCCGTCGTTCACGAAATTTCATCGATCGAAAAAGAAAAACAAAAATAAACAATAGTAACCCTGCACGAAAATCGGCCAGCTTGGCGATCCTAAGGGAGAAACCGAAAGCGGACGAGGATGCATCCTTCCCGTTCACAGTTTTCTCAGGCGCAGATACCGTCCTGGCGATCGTTGGCTGTGGTCTCCTCTCCTTTAGCGCGCTGTCCAACGAATGATGAACAGACGGCCCGTTGGAGGACGAGGACGGATACGGAACAGGGACCGCGTCCCTCCAGATCCTGCCCAGGCTGATACTGACGCTGGGCGGTCCTTCGACGGACAACGGTTCCTGGGCCTGTAGAATATCCTGCTGGCTGCTACCATTCACCTCGATCGTCTCACTCGAGGTACGAAACGGTCGCGAGGTCAGCAACACCGGTGACCCGTCCAGCTCGAGCACCTTCAGATCATCTGCCACGTGGTCGGCCGTGGATTCGTTCGATTTCTGATATCTGGTGATGACGATCTTGTTCTTCCCTGTCGCCTGAGGAACAGCAACCTGATGAAATTTATTCGACAGATGATCCTCGTGTAGCTTCTCCCTGGACGATGAACTGACACCTTGCAGCCACTCGTCGTAGCTGATCGATTCCCGACTGAGCGTGTCATCCTGAAGCTTTCGAGGCTTCTGATCCTTCAATGAATCTTCTTTTATCGACACGCTCTTTTTGGACTCTGTTATATCGTCATCTGTTGTTTTTATTATTATTATACTCTTCTCGATCGGTTTCTCGTCGTTCGGCTGGACCGACGACAGAGGGACCGTGCTCGGCTCGAGGCTCTTCTGTAGCTTGTTCCGTCGTTTGCCACGGTCCAGATAACTCTTCCTTATCGATATCCTCTTGAAGGACTCGCTCCGCTTGAAGGACGGCTCGTTACGGTCCTTCTTGCGGCCCACGAGCCTTCGCAGATTCTCGAAGGACAACGGCCTCATCGGTTCGGCCCTTCGCGGATCTTCACCGCGTGGCGGTTCAACGGGATTCGTCGCCCAGTCGCATCGGTTCAGCGGGATGAGTCGCGCAGTCGCATCGGTTCCGGCATATCCGTTCCTCTCACCTCACTCGTCGTTCTTGTGTTGCCGAACACGCGTCTACGTGACTTTTTCTTTGAATACCGGGATCTCATGTGTACAAAGTACCACACAAACACACACAAATACAGTAAATATTCGATGACAGGAACGTGAACTCTTTCTCTCGATTCCACGTCAAGCTTTCCTTGTTCTTCTTCTTCTTCTTTTTTATGGGATTGAAATGTCCCCAAAACTCTTTACCTCGACTCCACGTCAAGCTTTCCCTCTTCTTCCTGGGGTTGAAATTTCCCCGGAACTCTCTACCAACTCCACGTCAAGCTTTCCCTCCTCTCCTTCTTTCTGAGATTGAAATTTCCCCGAAGCTCTTTTCCTCGACTCCACGTCAACCTTTCCCTCTTCTTCTTCCTGAGATTGTAATATCCCCGCTGAATTCCTTTCGACTCCCCGCTGTCTCGTTCGCCGGCTCGCAGCAGGCAATCCCGGGGGGTTCCCTGGAACGGAGGTTCAGCTTCGTTTCCGCTTTTGGTTCTCTCTCCAGGCTGTTATCGCGCGGTCGAATCTCCTGGCTGGTACTCGAAGGTGGAGCCAAGCAAAAGGATTCCTCGCGAACATATACGGCTTGGCGTGGATTATATTCGGCCCTTCGAACGAGCCACACGTCCTCCTCGAGTCCTTCCAAGGAGACAGAGACAGAGAGACCTTGCGAGTTTCCTCCACACTGGTTCTATTCTGGATCTCTCTCTTTCGTTCGTATCGTTCGTTCCTCTCCTGCTCACGCTCGGTCCGCGAACAAGCGAGCACGCTTGCGCGTTTCAGCGATGGTTAACGTGTAACTCCGAGGCCTTCCAGTCGCGGATCACCGTGGCTTTCCTTTTTCGACGTGCCGTGGCCGCGTCGTTTCTCCTCCTTCTCCTTCCTCTTCATCGCCCTTCTCTCCTCCTTCCCTTTTCTCCACTCCTGATGCTGCTGCTGCCGATGTTGCCTTCGCTGCCCTGCGACCAGCCCAGGATCTGCTCCTTCGACAAAAACGTATTCGGCGCTGCGGACCACCGGGGGCCGATGTTGTTGCATGGGAAAAGTTACGCCGGGTACGACGAGAACCTTGAGCGTTTCAACGAGGAATCATCGCTTTTTCTGGTTCCGTTCAAACTAATAAAATGCGTTTCGTGGAGTCCAAACTAATAAAATGTACTTCGTAGAGTCCTCTCGAGTAATGATAGAAAAATCGAAGGAGATAGTATCGATTCCCACACTAGGCGTCAGTGCAAAAGCGATTTTCAATTTGCCTTCACGATGATTGCGTTTAACTCTTTTTTTTCGGCGGTCGAACAACAACTGGTTGTTTCCTCCAACATTCCAGCAGTAATAGCGAAACGATACCGTTTCTCCGTGTACGAGGCCTCGTTCGTAAACTATCACGGATCAGCCTGAGAAGATCTTGGGACGATACTTTCTCCGCCCTCGAACGATTACGACACCGATTTCACCCTCTCCGCCTCCCAACAGTCTCACCGTGTGTATTTATTATTTCGTGTCGGCGGGAAACGCGCACAACACAACACTGCTAGGCACGAATATATTAATTTCCCTTCCCTCCACGGTGTGCCTCGACGGACACGCTACGGAATCACTGAATTAATAATATTAAAAAAAAATATATATATATCTTCGTGAAACGGCACGTTTCATTCACCTCGTCGAGCCACAACACCTGGGAGAACCATCAAAACGTAACGAATCACGGAGGCAGCGCGAACACGTATGATGGTATTTACATTTTTCACGCCCTCGACTGTGTGTATCGTCGTGTATCGGTTTCACTGGTTCTCATTCACCGAAGGAAAATTTCCCGCTGAATTCGTGAATTCCACGTGGCATGCCACAAACCAGGTGGTATCACTGGAAACACGAAACATGGGGTCACACAGAAAACACAAACACAGACACATTGGTCTCGAGGAACACTTCTGAACCCACCGGCACCGCTTTTGCTCCTTTTTTTTTCGAAATTTTGTTTTCTTTGGAAAAATAGAGGGGAAACGCCTATTTCGAATTTTTGACGATTGCAATGGAATACTGTATTACAATGATGGCCAAACCTTGGCAGGAGAGGAGCCATATGAGTCGTTCACAGGTTAGAGTGAATATAATCTATATAATATTAAATAATGGTTTGTCAAGTTTCAATTCGTTCAATAAATAACATTATTTTATTATAAAAATTAGAATTTCCATGTTTAATCAATTGAAAATTCTTTATCTAGACGATGAATTTGCCAATGTCTAACTGCATATATGTCGATGTGCGTTTTCCAGAGGATAAAAGAAATTCGGTTCTGACCATTTTTCAGCTGCTAAATTCCGATATTTCCGGATGATCATGTATATCGGGGCTGAGGAAAAACGACAAAATATACAAACAATTTCGTGCGGATGCCTCGAGTGAAAGGCCGTCGATGGTTCGTAAATAAAGCGGAGATTTCAACCGGCTTGAAAATTTATGCCCCGCCGATGTAAATACCAGTTTCCGCGGCGTGAAACCGACTCGCGCGGGCGGTCGGTATACGGCTGAAACAGCCTTCGCCGCGGTTAAAGGGAGTTAAGGGAGTGCAGTCGGGTCGGGCCCTTTCGAATCATGGAAAACGCAGATCCTCGAAGTTCGTCGTCCATGAGAGAACGCTTCGCCGACTTCAAGTGTATATAGACAGCATATACAACCGGAATTGTTTATGTCGACCAGCGTGTTTGTGGATGCTGTGTCACGCTTTGCTCCATTCTCGTTGACACTGACTGAGAATTTGCATACTGTCGCGTATTATACCGGATTCGAGTGACAGAGAGACTCTTTATGCGAAGGCAGGAAACTCTGAAGTGTTGGACCAATGCAGGGCCAGTTTTTCGTAAACAAACGGGACTTGGTTGAATATGAAAAATTACACAGGGAATTGTGGAGAGATGTTTGTACTTGTTATATATATCATCCGATTTGTTGTATATATGTCTTGTCAGGAAAAAAGCCACGTCTCACATGTTTTCACTTGTTTCAAGTTCTGAACGCCTTTTTCTTCTTGTTAGCAATAATGTTTCCTTGTTTTCCTTTTACGATATAAATGTAATATTTCCCTCGGGTTGCATGATATTCTTCTGTGCACTTGTTCTTTTTTTTGTTTGTAATGCTATTTCTGGGAGAATACAAATATGAAATATAATTTCGTTCGTTTTATTTTATAGAAAGTAAGCTATAGTATTTTGGACTTACATTGCTTTGCCTAATGAATTAAATATTGGCCTCAAATGGTATTATTTCCTTTGAAAAAATACATTGAAATAAATACATAAATTCTATACTCTACGGCTCAATTAATGCATAAACTCAAGTTTTTTGAAATTATGACACGAGGCGTTTTTCCTTGCGGCCACAGGTACGTAATTGGTGGTAGGTCATTTCCCTAATCACTTACTAAAAGGGTTCAAAAAAGGGGGAAAACCTTATTCCTCTCTATGTAAACGCAATATTTCTCCAGACTATGAATGCTCGTTAGCCAAAGAGCAGACTACTCTCGTTAAACGTTTTCAAATGACATCGGTACAAACAGTCAAGCACTGCATCCAATCTCCTCCGGTTCACCGTCCACCCGTTTCACAGAAAATCGCACAGGAGAGCCTCACGCTGTGGATACACCCAGCGAGGGAGTCGGTACAGGGGCTCTCTTTCACCAGGGGCCAGTTTCGACGCGCGTTCACGTGCATCCAAGGTTCCCTTTGTCCTCGTACAGAAACTTCGCGACACAAGGGTCCAAAAAGTCGAACATCTACCAAAACAAACCTCGAATACCCTCCATAATTCCAATATTTGACCCCCAAGTACCCTCGAAGCGCGAACTGAGGATCGATCGAAGATCAATATAGGCAAAAGTGTCGAAAAACAACGAACCACGGGTCCAAAGACATAGCAAAACTATGAAAATCGTAGTGGAAACTACATCAGTAACGTCTATTTGGATACAGTTTGAAAAAAGGACGAGAAAGAGAGATAGTAAAAAAGGGCAGCGTCTACAGGCAGAGATGGGCAATTCGAATAACAAATAACAGATAAAAAGAAAAAATCTACTGGTCAAAGTAAAACCCTGCCTAACTTAGAGGAGCAACATTTTTATTGACCTTCTGGTACAAATCTCTGGAGGAATTACACTTCGAAATATACTACAGTTTAAAACCTAATCGAAACAATTATGGATCACAGCCAGAAGAAACGTGAATACAACTATCTAACAATTTCATATTCTGAGATCGCCATTTTTACACCCCAATCCTAATCTAGAGTTCAGATAATCTCAGACATTGCCATTTCACCATATATATACTATTCCAATAAAATTCCGCCCAACTCTGCAAAAAGTATACAACCGACGAACAACAGGGAAGCTGAAGAGCACCAACCAAGGCGCCCATATAGAACCAAGTGTATCGCAAAGCGGCGCGGTGTGTACAGGGTGTCTCTGGTGTCGTAGCGTACTCGAGGCGCAGGGGTCGTCGCCGGCGGGTCGTCCCGACGCGCACTGGTCTACCCTTATCGCGTAGGGCAGAGAGAGAGAGAGAGAGAGACCCACGAGGAGGATCAAGCGAGCTAGACCACCGGGCGAGGGCCCACGAGACGGAGAAAAACTCTCGTAGCTGCGCGTAGCTGAAGTCGCGTCGAATCACTGGCATTTCGCGAGAGCTCTCGACGCTGCTGCACCTCTCCCTGGCTCCACGGAGGAGAACGAAGAGAGAACCACACGGGGACCCGACCAACACACACACAGAGAGACTGAGCAAGAGAGATAGAGAGGGGGCAGAAGCGGCCTGAGAAGCGGGCCCCGCTGAATAAAAGTCACGCCGCGAGACGAGGATGTAGAAAG